AGATAACAACTTTGATCTGCCGGATCGCACATTTCATGCTCTGAATACCACCTATTGCCTGGCCAGCCGGGACAGTCCCACGGATGTCAAGGAGCTCATACCTGAGTTCTTTTGCTTGCCTGAAATGTTTGAGAATTTTGAGCGCTTCAATTTTGGCTGCCGTCAGAATGGCGAAAGGGTTGAAGATGTTACGCTGCCTGCGTGGTCTCAGCGTGATTCACGTCTGTTTGTGCTCATACATCGACAGGCGCTGGAATCGGAGCTGGTGCGCAACGAGCTGCATCACTGGATCGATCTAATATTTGGCTACAAGCAAACTGGCGAGAACGCCGTGGAGGCCATCAATGTGTTTCATCCAGCGGTATGTTTGGACTAGTCAGAATACCTATATTCCACTGTTATGCCTGGTTTTTTTCAGACCTATGCAGTTTTCCTTGACTCGGAGATTAGCGATCCCATTGAACGCGAAGCGGTCAAGACTATGGTTAAAACATACGGCCAAATGCCGCGGCAGCTGTTCAAGTCGCCACATCCCCCCACCAAGGCGCTGGACTATGCTTTGGTGGACACGCCTATTGTGTCCAGCGTCAAAGGTTTGCGCTGGGGCGTTTACGTGGGCTCGCCGCAGTTGAAGGCGCCATCCTGGGCCAATATACACAAAATACCCGGCACTGAGCATCTCGTTAGCTTCAGCAATACGAATGTGGTATATGCGCTGCCGGCACGCGCTAGCGTCATGCAGGGCGCTGAGCCGGATACCTATAATGTGATTTCCTGGGGATACGATGATCGCATTGTGCGCATCCAGCCGCTAAACAAACCGCAGGCCAAGCCCAAGAATCTGCTACACAATGGCAGCTTTGATGACATCAGCGCCTGCGGCTGTGATGTGAACTGCAATCAGCTCTGGTTTGGCCACAAATCCGGACGCATTAGTGTCTACAAGTGCACCAGCGGCGTAGAGGCCCAACAGCGCGCGAGCACCAAGAGCCGACAAAGCTATGTCCGTGGCCTGCGGCTTTCCTACAATTCAGCATTTCGCAAGATGACGACCAAGAGCACGGGCTCAGGAACGGGCAGCGAAGCAACCGATGATTCGGGCAATCTGCATGCCACACACTCGACTACATCGGTCGCCTCCTCAGGTGGGTCCAGCAACGGCGATGCGCAGCAGCGTGATGGCGCTGATCTGAGCTGGCTGGGTCCAACATTCCTGGTGCGGCACACGGATGAGATCACATGCATTGCGCTGTCCGTGGAGTTTAAGATTGCGGTGACAGCCGGACGCGATGGCATTGCCGTAATATGGGATCTCAATGAGTAAGTCGCTCGCTAGCTAAACGAATTCACTAATTAATCACTTTAATTCAGCTGGAGCTATGTGCGCACCATTGCACGTCCTGCAGAGATTCATCAATCGCCCATCACCCACGTAGCCATCAGTCCCACACTGGGCGACATAGTCACCGTGCACACGCTGCCTCAACAGCTGGCAAACGCCAATGCAGTGCAGTCACCAGCCGCATCGCTTGTCAAGCCGAGCTCAGCGGATGAATGTTTTGAGGTAACTGAGGAGAGTCTGGATGATTTTGTCAATGTCAATATCAATCCCAATGGCAAGTCCATACTGCGCCTGCACTCGGTCAATGCGCGCTATGTGCAGCATCTGGTGCACGAGGACCGCATACAAGCTGTATGCTATTCCTACATCAAGGAGGGCGTTGGCGTCAACGTCATAGCCACCGCAGTGGAGGGCGGCTTTGTACGTTTCTGGTCCAGTTGGAATTTGAGTTTTGTCAGTGAACTAACCACCGGCACATCGCCCATACGCAGGTAACTTAAATTGCTACCTTAACTTAACAATTGATTATAATAAACTTCTTGCTTGCAGCATCAGTTACTCCACGCACCAGCATTTGGTGGTACTAACGCGGGATTCGCACATACAGGTCTGGGAATCGGAGGGCCTGTACGGCAACGCGCCTAAATTTCCGCAAATTGTTTATAAATGAAGGGACATACTCAATGGCAACTGAACTCAAAGCATATCAATGACAGACACATAAAACAAATTAGCTGATGAATCAAAACTAAATTGGCTTAAGTTACATGGATATCTATATGTAACTAAGAAGGACTGGGCTCGATCAAGTATATCTACACATATTAGTTTTATAGCCATAGGTTCATAAAGCTGTTCAAATACATTTTTCTACCAAATAACTTTATAATTTATCAAATTTGTTTTTTTTTATGGCAACCTTATATATCAAGTCAAACTGTGCCACATAGTTTGCTCATTTTGAATATTATTTGCGCAGCGCTGCCTTCAATTGTTGATATTATCAATAAGCAATAAAGTTTTTGCAAAAATTAAACAATTTACTTTTACAACTTCTAAGTAAAGGGGTGTATGAAAACCATGTGGCTACCATGGCTATATACATACATTAATTTAAACTATGAAACTAATTAATATAGTTACAATCGGTTGTATGTCAGGACTTCCAGGGCGGTGGCTTGGAACCGCTGCTGGCGTTACGCTTCTGTGGCTTGGCGTTCTGTCTGGCGTTCATGCCCAGAATCTCATCGAGTTTATCGAAATCACTTGGAGATTTGCTCAGCAGCAACTCAATGTATGCCTGCAGTTTGTCCATGGGCGATGGTGGATCTTTTTTGGCCACCGCATCCAAGTTGTTCTTTTCGGTATTATTGCTGCGCTGAGTCTTGCTCGATTTGGGTGTATCTGGGTAGTGACGGGCATTGTTAAGATCTGGCGATTCGCTGTCCGTTTCACCGCCGGGCAGCTGAAATGTGTGATTGGGCGAGGTAAGTATGGCCAGCGCCTGCTGCCACTGTGCCTCCATCACGCCATGCAGCTTCTCCGCAATGTCCGCACTAAAAAATGTACATAAATATGTGTGTATCAGATATATTATAAAATCTGTTTTACCGCTTCGTCTTATAGGTGCTGAGCTTGAGTTCCAGCTCGTCTATTTTTTTTGATGCATTTGCCAGCTGCAGGCGGTACAGTTCCACCTCCTCGTTGTGCTTCTCCTGCGTGAGATTCAGCTCTTGGTTGTTCTTTTCGTTGATCATCTCCAGCTGTTTGACCGCACGATCAGCTATGAGGCGCTCGCGCTCGCGTGCCTCAGCCTTTAGCTGCTCCTCCGACTTGTCAAGCTGCATTTGGAACTCTTGCAGTTTTTTGGCAACAACATTTTCCATTTGCTGCTGATAGTGTTGCTTCAGTGATTTCTGCTGCACTTCCAGCTTTTTCTTGAGATGCGTCTGGAAAAAGAAACCATTTTAAAAAATGAACTACACAGACTAAATCGCTTGGGAAATACCTCAATGTCGGTCAGATTGGCCAGCGTCTCCTGCAAGGATTTGCGCTGCGCCTCTAGATTATCAGCGCGCGTCTTTTGCTTCTGATGATACTCTTGCAGCATTTCCTTCTGATGTTGCAGCGTGGAGTTGTCCTTCTCCAGTTCCTCAACACGCAACTTCAGCTGTTGGTAGGAAAATTCTTATTAGGGACCCAAAAAGTAGTACAAGATTCGGCTATACCTTCTCCTGCTGATAGTCTACTTTGGCGAATTTGTCCCGCAGCTTGTTCAGCTCGGCGTGCGACAGCTCCTCAGCACGTTTGCTGCTTTGCAACTGCAGCTCCAGCTGTTCCAGTTTTTGTACTGTATCATTTGCCTGGCGCCTGCAACGCTCCAGTTCTGCCTCTAATTTCTCGGTCTTCTCCTGAAACTTAGTGGCCAAGCCCACCGCCTGCGAGAGCTCATGCTGCAGTGCATCGCATCTGCTATGATTGTCGTTACTTTCCGTTTCCAGCCTGTGCAGCGTGTCCCGCAGATGTTGCACCTCAAAGTTGAGCGTTTTCTGCTGTTGGTCTGCCTGCTGCAAGGCTGTGTCCTTCGAACGATCCACCTCAATGGCAACCGATATGCGTTGCTGATACTCTAGCAACTGTGTCTGCAGCGTTTGTACCATTTTCTCCAGATGCTGCCGCCGTAGTTGCTCCTCCTTCAGTGAAGGGCTGCCCTGCAGCGCCGACACGTTGCTAGCTATGACAGTGCCAGCCAGATTGCTTTTACCCCACAGCTCGCTAAGGCTGATGAGCTTGTCATTGGCAGTGGATGCCGATGCAGCCAGCCGCATGCTTGGCAATGAAGTTGCAGTTGGCTGCGAGTCCTGCACCTGCGCCGAGTAACCGCGCAAGCGCAAATGGTCATCGCTGTGGTGTTGATGCTGCTGCTGCTGTTGCTGCCAGGCATTGTGGTCATCCAGATAATTATCGATTTCCAGCAGTATATTATCCTCATTGCGACGACCGCGTGGCGGTTCCACTGAGCCACTCTTGGGTGTCGAGTGCACCATGCCATGCTGCTCACGCTGCGGCCTGCTGCCTAGCGCTGTGCGCACTGTACTCGACGAAATTGTGGATATATCCGAGGGTGCATCAAATCGTCGCTCATCCTCCCGCTCCCGATCCAGCTCCATGTTTTGCAGTCGCGCATTAATTTGATTCAGTTCCGACTTTTTGCTGGGCAACAGAAACTGGTACGCAGCTGTTGTCGACGCTGGCAACGGTGGCGGCGGCATGGCAAGTGCATCTGCTGCGTCTGCGCTCATTTTGGCCTCCCGCAGCAAGCGCTCTGCCGTGTCCGTATAGTAATTGGGCGGTATCAGCAACAACAGATCGGTGTCGTCCGTATCGGTATCACTCATTACTCAAACATGGCGATTTTCAACAAAATTATATTCGAGTTCACAAATAAAACATTTAAATATGAAATGAAGCGTACCAAGCGCTCGTTGCTAAGGTGCACGTAAACAAAGGGGTTGCCACAGCTCTGCTCAAATTGGAGATGTGGCAACGCTATGCAGCCAGTGTTGCGCAGCTGGCAGTGTGTACACACACGCAAACAATTGGCGCATTTAAATGGGCCGTTTAAATTGTTTTCTATTTGCCAATAGTAGCTTAAACATTTTGTATTTAATCCGTATGCTTTAATGTGAGAGGTTTACATTAAGTTCTTGCCAACATAGCCGCCGGCTATGGCAGCTATCAACACAAAGAAAGTAGCCAGGAAAATAAAGAAACAACTTCCTCGTTGCTGACCCAGTTGCTTGCACAATACGGTTTTCTCTTCGTCCTTTTGCTTGGTGATCGTCTCGACCTGCTGCACTAAATGTTGACGCTCCTCTTCCAGCTCGTTTACTTGCTGTAAAAGTTTTGCCATTGGATCATTGCCATCTTTCTCCTGATGCTCTCCAATGGTATTGCCTGTATCAGGCTCGCGTACACTTTGTCCTCCCTCCTTGACATCGATTAACTTGACTTTGATTTTGGTATCCCAGACACTTGACGGATTTACGTTCCGCCAGAACTCGTGCAAATCGGTCACTGGCTCATTACACTCGGCGGCCTGCATCAGAAACTTATGACGCTGTGCGTTAGTATCCGGAAATATGGGATGGACAAATATGTCAATAGCGATCCGCTCCTCCGGCTTAACCAGGCCCACATTGGGGCGCACGAAGAATAGCCGCGGTGTGGTCGTCTTCAATTTAAATGAAACGCGACTCAGTTTGTTTGGATTAAATACCAAAATTTTTTTGCAAACGGCACGGTTAAATGGTCCTTCGAGAACTAGTTCATCAGCAGGGTCCACGACCAACATGGCATTTGTTTCTAATGACTTGCCCATTACGATATGCAACTTTTGTACAACATATACAAAAATTAAAAAATTAAATTTCTTATTTTCACAAAAAATGTACCTTAACGTAACGAAATATTATTTCCGACTAAAAATCAATACAAGCGACTGCTTAGCTCTCTGACAGGCAACCAAAATGCACAACCTACTGCGTTTCTCACAAAAGAAGTCCGAAGAAATCCGTTTCAATTTTCGTAGAGTATTTTTAATTCGTCTTTTTTTTTCTTTCTATAAGTATTATTTACAAATTTTCCAAATTCGTCTGAGTTGTTGTGTGAGTGCCTACCAAAATATCATGCGGCCAGCATTTGGTGACGTTGCCTTCGACAGGATAATATCCGACAGCTCATCGTCCTCCAGTTCATTACTATAATTATTTGTTGTGGGTAAATTAGTTTCAAATGGACGAAACATTTAATTAGTCTGATTTGTGTAGTACACACATTTATTGATTATTTTATTCGCTGTGTTGTGTTTGATTTTTGTTTTAGTTTTGTAATAAATAACAATGAATGTTTTTCTTTTGTTGTTGTTCAAAACAGCTGGACGACGGATCACCCTGTGATATATTGACGGATTTCGGGATGTGGAGTGATGAGTAGGTTCTTGAATTCGATTCGGGTATGTGCAGGGGGGCAGGTGCTGGCACAGGCACAACAATAACAACAAGTACAAAAATGCGCATTTATGGTCTACAAATAAAATTTGAAGAGAAAGAAAAAAAGAGAAAAGGAAATATCGAAAAAAGTAGATGGTTCCAATTAAGGTAGAATTTAATTAGCATTGCATTAATCACAATCGACACAACGAAACATTAAACAAACGAATATTAGACAAGAACAAAACATTAAAACATAAATATATATAAAAAAAAAAAAAAACAATAAAAACACATACAAAGAATACGTAAAATGAACATGCGAATGAAAGGAATGGCTGATAAAGCAGGGTCATGACCTTTTGGGACAATAATACACAATTGATTTGAATAATTCACATTTTATTTAAATCTAGTCCAATTTTAGGCACTATTTAATTAATATATTTATGTATATATATATATATATATACATATATATATATATTGCAAAAATCAATAAAATTATGCCTTAAGTCTCTTTTGCTAAAATTAAAATATTGTACAGCATAGTTTCTGGGTGGTTTTTCTTCTTTTTGCTTTTGTTTTGTTACTTTCAAAAGTTTTCGATTATTTTTTGTATAGTTTTAAATATCACTTAAATATTTTCGTTTGAAGCCACTTTTTGAGTTGTTATGAAGTTTTTGTTTTTTGTTTTTTGTTTGATTTTGCGGACGGTTACAAGAAAAAAATTGCATTTGAAAAGAAAATTTACAATTTTTGATAATAAATATTAATCGTAGACTAAAATTAATAGAGTTTTTATGTATTTTTTGTTTCTTTTGTTTAAAATTAGTTTCATAAATTATGTTTTCTTTATATGCAGTCGTTAATAATAATTCATAGTTTAGTTTTGCAATTTAAATTCGTTTTTTTTTTTTTTTGTTTGCATATATATGAAGAAAAAAAACAACTAATCACAAGGCAAATAGATATTGGCTTTGGACTGTAAGAGGGGGCGTTCAAGAAGTTGTTTCGGGCAACGCAGGCAAGTTTTAGTGGATGCTTAGCTTGACGAGTTGAAACAACGAGCTACGAGAGATAAGTAGAGATAGCGAGCGAATACCATAACCACATAAAGAGATAGAGAGAGAGAGACAGGGAGAGAGAGATTGAGACACACAGTGGAATAGAAAGAGAGAGAGAGAGAGAGCGAGGGGGAGTTTGGCCCAGGGAATGGTTTGTGTGAGTGATTAATGTTGATGCATGAGATTCGTTGTAAATGGCACAAATGTAACGAGCAGCGAGTAACGAGTAGCGAGTAGCGAGTAAACATAAGTGAGTGAAAGACGTTATTCAAACAAGATGAGTCAGTTGAAAGTAAGTGTGTGCAATATTAGGAAGTAACGAATGGAAGTAGCGAGTAACTAGTAGAAGTAGCGATCAAATGATTTGACGAACGCATTTTTCGCCTTTCTCAGCTGCGTGTTGCTTACTTTTTGATCAGAGAGCGTACTTTTTTCATCGTACGATTAAATATCGTTTTATTGTTGGCGCTATTGTTCGATCCCAGCGATGAGTTGGACGTCTTATTACTGTTCTGGCTGCCACCACGATGCACATGCGCCGCCGCCCGCTGCTGATTGCCATGCTGCGATTGCGTTTGCGATCTCACGGACTGCGCATCCTCGCGCTCGCTCTCCGTGGAACTGACGCCGTCGGGACTCTGGCGATTATAGACGCCACCGCGCTGCGGCACCGGTGGTCGTTCCGGCGTCGGCGATTTTGACGAGGAGCTCGTTTCGCGTCGCTGCGGCTGCGGCGTCAATGGCAATGCCAGATTCTGCATGCTCTGCGTCTCGTCGGCTGGCTCGCTGGGCGGCAGCAACTCGGCCAGCGTTTGCTTGGACAATATGTGGTCCAGGCTGCGCGACTTGCGATGCTGCTGCACATTGGGCGGTGCCAGCGTCTGTTTCTCGCGTCGCGTCACATGGCACATATCCGCGGTTGCTGCCGCCTCCGCATCCGCATCCTCCGCCTCATCCTCATCTGGCTGCAGCGTGCTCGTCGAGCTGGCATTGGTCAGCGCCGTGCTGCCAGCGGCAACCATAGCTGCCGCTGCCGCAATACGCTGCTCCGGCGTGCTCAAGCTATCCTGGCTGCCGGCCGCCGCCGCCTTATCCAGCAATCCATCCACGCTGTGCGAGCGATAGCCATTGGCCACGCTGGCATTGTGACCCAGGCCGGCAGCGGAACTGCGACGCGGCGGCAAATAGGCCAGCGGAGTCATATTTTGCATAGACGCTGATCCGGCGCCGGATTTGTGGAGCAGCGCCGCCTGCTGTGTGCGATATGGTGGGAGTATGTTGGATCGTTTTGCCTGGCCACGCCCATAAGTCAAGAGGGAGGTGCTGCCGCGCTGGCGGGCCGGTGAAGGGGATTGCCGGTATCTATTTGCCTGGTGATTAGCTGCTCGTGAATTATCGAGTTTCGAGTTTGCAATCAAAATTAAATTAATTATTAATTAAGTTGGTTTGTTTCTTGTTTGTTTTTAGAGTAGAGTAAAGTAGAGAGAGAGAGAAAGAGAGATGTGGTATATATGTGAAGAAGAGTGAGTGAGATGGTAAGTGGGCGTATTTGTGTGTGTGTGTGTGTGTACTGAAGAGAGAGTTATAGGAACTGCTATGCCGTGGCAGCATTCTGCCAGTATAACAGTTCTTCGCTTAACGAGTTGATCTTGAGGTTGACTTTGTTGAGGATTGAGAATTTCTTTTTGTTTTTGTGTGTGTGTGTTTTTTTTTTCTGTGTGTGTGTGTGTGTGTGTGTATGCTTAATCATAGCTGGGGATATTCGAGGCTAGCCTAAGTGCTCGCGATGGCCTAGTCTACGCTGTAGCTGGGTTTGATTCGCATTCGAACTCGAATTGGAATTCGAATTGGGATTCTGATTCTGATTGGTTGTAGTAGTTGTACTCGTTGGCCCACCTTGTCCGCTGCCATTGGCCGTCATTAGGCCATCCACCACACTGCCCGCGCCACCGCCGACGCCGCCACCGACTCCACCTCCACCTCCACCTCCACCTCCGCCATTGCCACCACTCTGCTGATAGTCGGAATCATTGCTGTGCATTCTTTGGTATGACACCACGCCGGGGGTACCAGGCGCCATCGCTGCAATGCGATCGATATTCTTTTCGCCGCGCAAAAATCTGCCGCACCGGGAAGAGGGGGAAATTAAGGTTGGGAATGTATTGAGATTGAGTTTGCGCATTAGATAATTGTTTAAATTAATTGAATTAATTGATTGATTAACTAGAGATTTAAGCACTATCTGGTCATCATCCATTTAGTCCTAAATGCGCCGTTAATATACCTTTCGAGCTTATCGATGCACGCATCCTGGTAGTCGTGTATCCAGCTGACGCCGTTAAAGTGCGCCACACTGCACATATCCTCGGGCAGGTTCTCCGGCCACGTGAACTGTTGATCCATAATCGGTATTATGTTGCAATTGGAGTTCAGGGCGGCCACAATTTCCTATTATATATTTGCAAATCACTTGGTTAGCCAGTTGGAGTTGATTCGAACTAGTTAGAACTTACGCGATGCACCCAATCCTTGCACTCCTCATCGTTGATGCAGCGATGCAGTGCCTCCGGTGTTAATACTAAGACAAAGTTCTTTGCCTGACGAATACTGTTCAGTAGGCCATTATCAAATTTGCCCGCCTCCAGGCGCTCCACGTCAATGAACACTGAGAAGCCGCGCAGCTGAAGATGTACCTGGAAAGGGATGGGCAGCAGCGGCAGCTGGAGCATAAGCCGAATAGTCTACAATTTGAGCCACCCACCTTTAGCAAACTGGCCAGCTGGGAGCCATTGGAGCGCCTGTAGCTGACGAACACATCCAGCGTCTTGGCCATGTTCTCCTCGGACGAGCTGGGCAGCGAGTTCTCCAGATTCTTGACCGAATTGAGAATCCGCAAACGGTGTATCGCATTCTTGATGCCGCACTCTGTCATCAGCATATCCTCGTTGACATGGGGCAGGGTGCACTTGTCGATGCCGGCATTAAGCATCGCATATGTGTAGGTGCAGTAGTCGGTGCCAATCTCGGCCAGAAACTGATGCATTCTGGCCGTATCTTTGGAGGAGTAGTCCGCCATACGTTTGAGATTTTGCAATTCGCGCTCGAAACGCTTGAGGAGAATGCCATTGGCAATGCCAATATCGTCGCGCAGATTCTCCTGGTTCAGCTTGAGCAGCAGATCGCCGTCCACCTGCGACTCCTCGAACTGGCGCAAATAGCTGTGGAAGCCAATCTGCTTGACCCACTCCTGCACATCCTCGACAGACCAGAGTGGCACCTGCTGGGACAGCTTATGCGGCACCGTTTCACCAATCAGACGCAGCGCCTGCGCCGCAAACTTCGAGGCAATCGCGTTCGGGCAGCTGGCCACAGTTTTGAGCGCTTCGATGGCTCCGATCTCGTGAAAGATGTCCGTGTTGCCCTGCTTGCGCTTAATGCCCGCCTCCATGCAAAAATGGAAGGCCGCCAGATTGCGCGCCTCCTCGCGATTGGAGCTCAGCACCGGCACCAGACGCTCCAGCCAGTGCTTGCTCTGGCCGTGGGCGTGCGACAGATTCGACTTGGCAAACTGATACGGATCGTGTGTGGTGACAAATGGCTCGACGAGATCCAGACAGCCGGACTTGAGCACCTCCGCCTCGATCTCCTTGTTGGCGACCAGCACGGCAATGGCCAGGCAGGCATAGTACTTGATGTTGTCGTCGTAGTGGAACGCCAGCGGGAACAGCCACATGGGCACGTTGCGCATTATCATCGCCTCCTGATTCTCGGCGCCGCCATATAGCGACAGATTGACCAAGGCGCTGGCGCAGTGACGCAACGTTTCCACATCGTTGGTGCGACACTTGAAGAGCAGTGCGTCCAAGCCACCCAAGCGGATGACATCGGAGCAGGTGCCCTCGGAATGCTTAAAGAGATGCTCCAGTATGCCGGTGCCGACGCGCGAATGCTCCATATTTTTGGTCTCCTTGGTGCACACGCAGGCCACATTGACCACCTTGTCGAGTCCATTGTCCACCACATGCGATCGATTCTCCGTGGTCAGGCACTGCTCGAGCAGCTGGGCGGAGAAGAACTGCAGATCGTTGTGCTGCACACAGTTCTTCATGAGCAGATCGAGACCACCGCTCTGGCGCAGCGAATTGCACAGCGAGTAGCCCAGCTCGTGTCCGTGCGTGGGCACCGCCCAGGCGCGTCGGATCACCTCGTTGATCTTTTGCAGATAGACGGACTTCTCGCCGCCGGCGGCCACGCTGCTGTCCTCATCCTGCAGCGAGCTGACAAACGAGGTGAGGACATTTGAATACTTGCTGATCGCCTGCTCGATTTCCTGCTGGCCACTGCCTGCGGTCAGGGATTTCAGATCGTCGAGCTTGAGATCCTTTAGCTTGATCATCTGGCCGTTGGTGGCGGACATTTGCGAGGAGGAAGAGATCATGCTGCTGCCCGTACTGGATACGCCCTTGTGCGTCATCGAGTAATTCGCCTGTGAGGCCGATGAGACATGCTTCTCCTGGCTAATGATGCCATTCGATGTCATGGTCTGCGATTGCTGCGACTGCGAGATGGCCTTCTTGTCCGCCGAGAAATTGTCGCTCTGCACTTTAATACTGGCGGCGGCCACCTTGTTGCTCGCCTGCTGTGTGATGTCGCCGGTGCGCAGCGAGAGCGCTTCCTGCAGGGGGATTCAGAGTATAACAGTTAGTTAGTGATGGGAGATCATGATGCAGATGCTGGCTGAAAGTGTGGTGGTTAATAGTATAACAATATAAGCTGTTATACAGCGACATTTGCTGTTAGCTAGCTTATTACATGCTGTAAATCGTTGCGATCGTGTAATTCAAGCATATAAGAGTTTCTTAACTGTTGCAGTAAACTGTTATACAGCTATATTTGCTGTTGGCATAGTTTTCTTAACTGTTATACAGCGCTGCAAAGAGCTGCACGACGATAATTCTATCTTATAACGGTTGATTACAAAAAGATAAACTAAATGGGTATTTTGACCTAAAATACTGTTATAATACATGACTTGCGCTTATGAGCTGTTATACCTTGTTTTGTTCTACCTCGATGGGTATTTCGCGAATATTTTTCACATTGTTGTTATTATTGCTGTTGTTGTTGTTGTTGTTGTTGTTTGTGGTTGTTGTAGGGTTGTGGTTGTGATTGTTGTTGCTGGTGGGCATGGACGTTTCAGTCGTTGTCGTGGTTGTGATTGTGGGTGGTGGCGGATGGGGGCAGGCGGTGACTGGCTGCAAAGGGGGATTAGAACTTTTACGTACTCTTGTATGGGAGCTAGAGCTTGAACTTGAGCTAGACGAAGATGACGAGGAGGTGGCCGATGCTGAGGCAGAGGAGCTGCTACTCGTGGCCCCAGACATACGGGCAGCGGACGCAGTGGACTTGCTCGCTGTGGCTGCAGTCGTCAGCGGCACGCCGCCCACCACTTGTATGGGCTGAGGGGGCGGCGACAGTGGGGAATTGTGCGCAAAACGATTAATGGGCGTGCCCATGGGTGGCGGCGACAACGGCATCTCAACAATGGGACTGGGCGAACGCTTGGGCACAAACTCGGATTGGCCGCTCGATCGAAAGATGCCCTTGCGCACGGGCCAAGGTGCCTGATTCTGTGGATTGGACATGCTTCACGGCGTGCCACACAGCGTATTTAAATGTCCGGCAGCGGGCAGACGTCGACTGACTCAGTTGCAGAATACTTGTGTTCACACTTCGATGTTCTTATTTGAAAATATTTCAGTATAACGCAGCGTGAGCGTGAAAATGAATGTTCTCCGTGTTATATACGTTTAAATACAGTTTTGTTATTTATTTTCATTCACATAAAAATAGCGCACAAATTGGCTGTCGTTGACGTTGCGCTTTCGAGAGAGTTTGTGGTGTGTGTGTGTGCGAGTGTGTGTGTCGCTCGGAGATTCTTTGTATTAACATATATATGGACACGCGCGACGTGTGTGGGTGTGACTGTGTGCGTGTGTGTGTGTGTGTGTGTGTGTGTGAGTGTGTGTCAGGCGCTGACACTGACCGACAAATTAAGTTTACAATAATTTACAACACTGTTAAATTGTTCCTACTGTTTTACAGTTAACATCAATTAACGAGACTTGACGAATGTGTAAAATGCATGATATATATTGATATTTGTACATAACGTAACGCGTATGACACTTGTTCGATCAACTGGTATACATATAGAACTTAACGAATGTTTAGCATATATCTCACATATTTTCTCATACGATAGCCCATGGTTGCGATGCTTGCACTACTTAAGCTTCGTTCTGTTGTTAACCTTCAACTAGTATTTGTTCGAGTTTCGTTAAGTTTACAGTTTTCTGCGTCGTTTATTTCGTTGTAAGCACTCTTTGCACTTGATACGCTTTCGTCAAGTTTTAAATATTTGCAATTCTCGGCCCACTTTCGATGAATTATCGTACTTTAAACAAACTCGCATGTTTTGCATATTATTTTCGTTAAGTTTTTTATTTGCCAAGCACACTTTCGTTCATTTATAGCGATCGGAGAATTTCATCACAGCACCCGTGTGAAATTTATGAAACACCGAAAAGTGGTTGCTTCGTTCAGTCGCGGCACAAGTGTTATACTATATTTAAAATGAGTCGCGGCGAAGGTCAGGTTCTAATTATGTGTGCTTTCGTTTAGTTAAACACTTGTTTCACTGCTTCTTCTTCTTCTTCGTCTTCTTGTATATTTATAATTATATGGTATTTGGGAATCGTCAACACGAGGCATTCAATTGTTGTTTGTTGTAATTAGGAAGTCGTTGTCATTTGCCAACAACATTTCGGTGCCAATAGACAAATTGGTGCAAAGCTCTTGTCTATATAGTTCGTATACATACATATATGTTATATATATATATATATGTATGTTTTCCGTATAAGTATATGCAAATGATTATTTGAAAATGCTCGCCTATAGCGTAACGTTCGCGTCGATCGCTTGTCTGATACTGAGAACTGAACGCCACTCGGTGCCATTTTATTTAAAAGCAAAAAATATTCGAAAATAAAATACTGGCGGTATACAATAAGAACAACAACAACAAAATTCTATAGAAATTTCAGAGCGCACATTTCGAGAATAAATCAAAAACAAAAATCAATATATTGTAACTATATAAGTTATATGTGTATCATGGATTTAAAGGAAATTTCATTGAAGTTCTTTTTTTTTTTGCATTTTAAGCAATGGGCCCAAAACTTTTAATTGTTTTGCCTGAAGCTATAAAAAAATACATTAAATATAAAAAAAAATCTGTTGCTTCTATGATGGCGGCAAAAACTATTGGGCGTACGGAGCCGAACTTTAAACTGTAAAGCAGCCAAATCGAAGCCCGAAAAAATAGAGAACCTTTAAGGTAGATCCAGTTCCAAAGTATATGTAACTTAGGACTCAATCAGTGCATTTAAGCAACCGTTTTTAGTGGCTGCTAATTTTGCGTATAGATCAAATGTAGCCCACATTTTGTTCATGAAAATACGTATAGCTAACAATATTTTCAGCACAAAGGGCAATTGTACATCAGAAATTTAAGTGAGTAATTAAAAATTGTGAATATCTTGGGTGGGAACCAAGGCAGGCAGTTTGTTTGAACCGTGAACTGAACCAACGGGAATTTGTTTGAGCTTGCAGCCCTGGCTCGCAGGTTCATAGCTCGGATATTGCATTCTAGCTGATTCCTTGCATACATTCCATTTGCAATATATTTAATGACTCGTTTATGGTTTAGTACCTGACTTCTGACCTTTAATAGCTGGACAGCATTCATGCAATATACTGCATATAATTTCATCAGCCAGCCAGAATTGCGTTGTTGACAAGCTTTAATGAGGCGCATCATAAAACAATTTATGCTAATTTGTAATGGGTCGGCATAGTTCTAGGCTCGTCGTACCCCTGCCTGCATTGATTAGATAAGCTGGCCACAGCGTTGCCCAGGGAAACGTGTTGTACAAAAGGTGAAATTGCAGGTGAAATTTAAGTACCTGAATTCTTTTTAGCATGGAGCCCTTTTCCTTGCTCAAATGTCGCACTAAGCGCGGACTCCACTGGCGCTGGCACTTGTATAGGAACATGTTACGTATACGCGATGGTATTTCGTGGCAGACTGTTGCCTACTTTTTGGCGTCTCCACAAACATATAGAAGTATATCGATTTTCGTTGGCAATATTTAACAACTTTCACAGCACAGTTTTCAGTTTCGCACGAGGCGGCGCCATTAACAGCTCCAGCTCCAGCTCTAGCTCGGGCTCTGGGTCTTTTGGACGGCACGTTTGCCCTTATGCGACTCTAACATGCACGCGACGAACTTCGACTGAAAGGAGTGGCCCGGCATAACAGTTGGGCACGTCCGAGCTTTGTTAGGGGTTGTGTCTGGCTATCTAGCTGTCTGCGGGGCGGGGCAAGTTGGGGAGAAAAAGGTTTGGGGTGCTGCGTCACTAGCTTACTGAAAGCTTTGAAAGCTTTGCTGCTTGCTAGCCGAAGATTTATTAACAGGGTTCAATGACTACGATATAGCGTGTAATCAGTAATTGATTGATTGACCGTGTGATTGACTGATTGATTCCTTGTTGGTCTGGCTGCTACCAAACACATGCAATCGGCTAATTAACGAGTGGCGATTAGTTGACAGTGGGACTGATTGATTCCTTGATTGATTAACTACCTAGTAACAGCATGGAGCGACAATTTTGGATTGATTGATTGACTGATTGACTTTGGCGATGATTTGATTAGCTGCTTTGATACAGCTTGTAATCAGCTACGCAACGCGTGACGATTAACTGATTGACTGACTAAGTGATTGATTGATTGATTTTCTGATGGTTAGCCTGCTAAGATACAGCAAGTGATTGACTGACTGATTGTTTCCTTGTTTTTTTCTTCACTTCTAAACAGTTACGCAACGAGCAACGATTGGCTGGTTGACTGACTAATTGATTGATCGACAGTCTTAAAGATTGACTGCCTGACATGTTGATTAATTACTTCCGCGTTTGTTTGTTTGACAGCTACGTTACAGCTTGTAATCAGCTAAGCAACAGTTGACGATTGATGGACCGATTGATCACTCGGTAAATAGTTAGTTTATATAATTGCTTACCTGCAGGACGGCCGCATTCTCCTCTGTTTTGACGCCATCCATATTCAGGCGATTGCTAACCGCTGACGCAGCCTTAGCCTCTTTGTAATCAATATCCCCGGCCTGGAGACGTTTCATTTCGGCCGAATTGCTGGTCGCCTGCTCGGAGCTGAAGCCGTCGGCGACCACTTTTGTGGTGGCCATAGATTTGGAACGCTTCTCCTCAAATTTGATGGTGTCAATCGTTTTATTCGAGCCACTTAGCCCACTGCTGGCGCTCAGCTGTGCCGCCGCTGGATGTGTCAGATCCAGCCCGCTGCCAAAATGTTGATGTGTGCAATCGTCATCGCCATCCGGAGTCGTAACAATGCCATGGCAACTGCCATCATCATCGCCATCAACCAGATTCTCGAATGAGGCGCGCATTCTGCAAGTAGACACGAATATGATCATGGTTCAAGCTGCAGCCCTGCAGACAAGAAGCTGGTACTCACTTCTTTTTTAACTGCGTTATGGCATCTTTGCTATTGAGACTCTTGAGGTCATCAATCGATGGATGGTGTCGCGTTTGCGTTGGCGCCGCTGTCAGACGCTCTATTTCCGACATGGACATTTTGATATCAGTGAGATCGCGCTTGACGGCGGCTGCCTTCATTTCCGAAGACGTTGATGACGAGGAAGACGACGAGGACGACGATGATGACGCTTGTGTCGTTGATGATGATGATGTTATATGATGCAAACGCTGGGATTTCTTTTCCACGCGCGTCGTTGTGCTGCTGCTGCTGCTATTGACAACCTGTAAACAAGGCAGGGATTGAGGAAGAGAGAGAGAGAGAGAGAAAGAGAGAGAGAGAGAGAAAGAGAGAGAGAGTAAAGAGAATATTAGTATTCATATGAATATTTGGCTCATTTTTCTTGTACTGATTCAGCGCAAAAACATTTGAAAAATTGGCAAAGTGGCCCTCATTCAGCATTTGCTGAATATTTCTTATATGAATATGTTTGATATATATACATATGTATCTATAGATAATTGTTGTGGGACAGTCTGCTATCTGGCCGCGTTTATGGCAGGCGCTTAGCGCCGTCGCCTTTATAAATCACATTTGTTTTTCAGATTGAAATGGCAACGTAGTATAACAGAAAGTGCTGATAGATGGTTTTATTTTAGCTGCGTGTCTTCCTGATAAGCAAATAATGTGATAAATGTCTAATGTTTTATGATTTCTCATTCTCGAATTCACTTATGAGCAAATCCAAGAAAATAACAAAGTGTATCACTATGTCGCAATGCAGATAAGATGGCATAGAAAGGGTATCTGCTCTATCTATATACAAAGATACGCATCAGCAGCTAGATTTTAGTATGTCACACAGTCTTCCATTACCTTAGACTATATGTAATATCATATCTTATGGAAAACCTATCTATCTACAGCTGATGAGGCGAATTCAGGCCAAAAACAAGAGCGAATTCACACGATGCGAAATGTATAAAAGTGCAAGCGAGAGGAAAGATACGAGCGAAGATAAAAGACGATCATTCGTTAAATTTAAAGTGGATTTATAACCTACAAATTATATCTCAAAGACAGCGAGAGGGCAATGTACGAAGACAGTGGATAAGCTTTCGTCAAATAGTTTCGGAGAGAGTTAACATTCGTCAAATTGAATGATTGAGTTAGGTCCTGCGGTTTGTGTCTGACTTTGACTTTCGTCAATTAGCATTTTAGAAGAACATATTTCACAAATCTGTTATACGAAATTTGTTATATGAAAGGGAAAATATTCAATAAAATAAAAAAATGCATTCAAGAATAATTGAACAATTTTACTTAAAAGTTATTTTCTAGCCAATTATTTCTTATTGTCACCATTACGCAGAAAAAAAATCTAATTTCTATTCATGCGCAATCACAATGTGAGCCAAATTGAATTGTTGCCTGTAAAATCTATGACACTTAAGCATTTGCAAAGGTTGTCAGAAACAAGGAACAAAAAAATAAAATAAAATAAATAAGTCGCCAGCCCACAGATCGAGCAAGAGTTTTATTTATTTCTCTTTTCTTTTCTTTTATTTTTTTTTTTTATTTTTTTGACAAATGTAGCCACATTACGAATCAATTCTAATTTTGGACAGATTTCATTTTGGCTCTTTTTGTGTGTCTTGAAAAGATTTGAGCAGAAGCCCCAAAATGAACAAAACGACGAATATTGAGTGTGTGGGTGTTGCTTTTCATACTTAGTTTTAATAAGGCTTGAAGCGTTGACTAATCAAACATGCGAGAATCATTTCAACTAGTATAATTGGAGAGTTTCAAATATAACGTATACGTCATGTAGACACAAACATATTGCTACCATCAACGATTCTCGTAATACTTAATCAATGTGTTATACGCGACTCTTTATGGCATAATACACGGTATATACGATTCGACTTATCGGGGAAAAAATTCCCAAGTGCCCAAGTGATCGACGTTCTCTTTTTGTTTTTTTTTTTCTACATAGATGTTGTTGTTGCACTTGTGTTAGTAAATATTATTGTGCGGCCGGAGGGGCCAGTGGCTGGGCCTAACGCTGCTTGGACATGAAGTCAATTGATTAGATATGAGGTGAGAGCCTTAACGTTTTGAGCACTGCGTCATTTACTAATTTATCATTATTATGTCTTACGGCCTATGTACTAACCTATGTCAGTTAACACGTTGAACTTGTTCGTTGTTTCTGGAAATTCCTTGAAGAGTTCAATTGTAGCTAATATTACGTATACGCCTACGTTCTGTTGGGCCCTTTGGCTCTGGCATATATATTTATATATTTTAAACTAAACAACGCCTGCGGGGGGCTTATCAGCACAGAGATACACGCACACGCACACATACACAGACAGATATATATATGTATGTATATATTTGTTAATATAATTATATGTGTGTTCTGTCCCTATTTCGCACGCGCAAATTCAATTCTTCAAAGATTTATATATTTATTAATATTTATTTATGTTGTTTCCTTTTTGTGTTTAGTTTCGTTGTTCGCTTTGGGCCCAGTTTTTCAATAGCGACGCAGATTTGTGGTTCACACGCTGCCAAGACGCTTCGCAGACTGAACTGAGCTTTCGAGTTAATATTTTTCACGCTTGCCGCGAATAATAATTCAAACGGCACCAAAAATAAAAAAGAAATAATCGTTGAGTTTACTTTTTCTTTTTTTTTTTTTTTTTTCTATTGCTGCCGTTGTTGTTCGTTTTTCGTTTGTACAGAAAATACTGATAACAAGTAGAGTTCGTTTAATTGTTCGTTAATTGGCAAAAGTTGTAGTCAACTTTGCGCTTTTCGTTCGATATCGTTGCAAATTATAATTATGTAAATTGTGGTTTAAATATCTATTATATATTTGAGGCGCTGCCGTCACACAAAAAAAATCATTGCACGTTTGGCTAAAATTCAACAATTAAATGGGATTTTGCGACGGTTTTCTTCTTCTTCTTCTCCTTCTTCTTGTTTTCAATGCCTTTTTTTTTGCGCGACGCTCGCTTCTCGTTCGTTTCGTTAACTAAAGTAAAATGAGCAAATTTCTAGCTGCGTTGCTGGGTCTCTGGCTGGCTAGAGCTTTTGCCGCTGCCGACGTCGACGCCAGCCGATTGTCATTCTAAAGTGCCACTAGCAGCGATCGCTGTGGGTGCGAGCGGGATGGCTAGATGGCGAACAGCACAAAGTTGGCGTTGACGTGAGCTCAGCGCTGAGAATTCTAGGAAATCATATTGTAAATATTCTCGCCGGCAACTGTGTAAAAGCAGCAACAACAACAACAACAACAACAACAACAGGAATAGCCAGTAGAAGAACGCGTCGCTTATTTTTATCTATTATCTAATTTATGCAGCGAATTTGTGCATTTCCATAATTCTGCGCTAGCCTCACGTTTCAGTTCAAGCGGTTTTCTAATTAACGCGTTCAGCTTAAAGTTTAAGCTTTATGGAATCTGTTTCCAGATTGTGAGTGTGTGCGTGCGTGTGTGTGTGAGTGTGTGTGTGTGTGTGTGTGTATTCCCATCTCATTTTGTCGCTTACTTATTTGATTAGTGTCGCTCTTTTGCATTAACACCAGCTGGGTGGGGGCGTGACGGAGTGAGAGGTTGCCATTGCTGTTGTCTGCGTGTGTGTGTGTGTGTGTGTGTGTGTGCCGTGATTTGTGTTTTGTTTAGTTTTGTGTGTTTATATTAATAATTATTGTGTGGCATTTCGTTAGTGTTAATAACTCTGCTGATTATGCACATGTGTAGACATATTCACATGTCTATATGTGTGCTAATTTATGTATAATTGCTAAACAATTGGCATTTCGAATTAGCATAATCAGCTCAGATCTCAACTAGCCTTAAACCTATCTTTATAGTCATGTATTTGAAATGCTCTGTGTACTAACTTTAAAATGCTTAAATGACTAATAAAATTTGGGCCATTAATCATTTAGCAGTCATAAATAAGGTTCATTAGCTTCTTTTATTTTGATGCCATATTTGTTATACTTAGTTGTTATTATGTTAAGTCTTATACATACATATTACATCTGGCGTTAGTTAAGCATTTTATTTAATCCCCAATTTGCACCATCTTTTGTTGACTTGTTCACACCCCGCAATCTGCAATGCGTCATCGAATTCTTATTTTCTTCATACTCCCCCGCAACATACACACACACACACACGCATTATCTGGCAATTGCACAGCTGTTACACACACACACACATATGTATGCATGTGCACATAAGCATGTGAAAACATGCATGTATTATCTTTGAAGTATTTCTAATGTGCTTCGATTAACACTTACACATATGCTTGATATATGTACATGCACTTGTACTCATACTTGTTTTCGATGTATTTCTACATTCATTGTATTTTCTACAAATTGTTCAATTTTCTGCGAAACAAAATCGTATCGGTCCTTGGCTCATTCTAAAATAAAAGTTTTTCCTTAGAAATTCACATGTCAACCGTCAACTGATTGGCCAACAAAATTGTTTCCTAGAAAACAGGAATAGGCACACACACCTTGCTCCCTGCGTACGATGCACACGGACACAGCTTGCAGAACGTTTATCAAGGCTCGGTCAATGAAAAGCTTAAGCGGCGCTTATCTACAGAAAGCATCAGCTTAAAAGCTAAGCGTGGTCGTCGTGAGAGCTACAGCACGAGCCATTGACGGACGTCACGAGCCAAAGACGACGCGACATTGATGTGCTGCCGCCATCAAGAGCATCTACGCCGGCGGCGACTGCGACGACAGCGACACCTACCGGCAAATGAGTCATTGGCCGAAGCAGAGCTGAACAAGAACAAATAAATATATGCTTCAGCATTTTCAATTGCTCTCAAATGAACGGTAAATTGTACGCACGTTGAGCTTTGCTCATGGATGATGATTACACAAGCTATTTAAAGCTATTTGAAAGCTCGCGCATTTGTCACCCACTTCGATAGCCGCACATAATTTGATGGGTGCGTTAATTAATAATAAAAAACTTGACCAAGGCAGCGACAACTGTGCCCTGTAAGCGACTATTTTGGAGGCAAGTGATTCAATGTGAAATGTCAATGAATTGATAAAAACTCAAGTGTGAGTAAGTCCAGAGTCGACTTGCAAATGCCCTTTACCTAGCTTCGAAGTACTGCAATTCTATGTTATCTTTGTGAGAGTGAGAGAAGGACAGTAACAAGGAAAGAAAAAGAGGAAACGAAAACTATTGGCAAGAAATGAGAATTAAAATGTCACGAGAGATCATGAGAATCGCATAGAAGAATCGCAAAGTGGTAACATACCCTGTCAAACTGAAAACGTTTCTGATGGCAAAACGCTTATCAGGCGACGGAAATTATGCACAGATAAAATAAAAATAAAAACTCCAAACGGAACTGTGAAATGCAAATGCCGCTAAAGCAATCTTATCTAAACCAAAAATGAAAACAACCAAAAACGACTTCATTGTGGGAAATTTTGCTTCGCAGCTCGTTAAATGTTTAAACAGAAATTGTTGTGGCAAGCGGCACGTTTCGAGCAAATGCAAATGTATATGTATGTATGTATGTATGTATGTATGTGCATAAACTGAGTATGGGCAATTAATTTTATGGCTTTGCTCAATCAATACCACAACAAATACCAAATGAATGTGCCAAATATAGCGAAAAGTATTCAAAGTAATCGCACAAGCATTAATTGATTTCTCTACAGCAGCCGCTGCGACGCCAATCAGAATTGCAATAATCTAATCAGAACTGGTTCATATCGAATCGTTTCACCTTTGGCAAGCAATGGAAAACGTGCTGGCCCGGCGAATTGTGGTTGTCGGGTTTATCAGGTAGGTCTAGAGTCTAGAATTTTCATATTTTCACATTTTAGGCTTAAGTAATTGTATAAAAATAGACACAAGTACACAGAAATTGTGTTTTTTTTTTTTGATTTATCAAGGGGTTCGCTTGAAGCAATCAGCAATTATTAGCCAACTGACAGCATTGCGTATACGTAATGTGCTTGCAGTTTGCATTTTTGTGATCTTATCTGAAGCACCTGCCACCTACCTGTTGCGATGTGGACTGATGTGAGGTTTCCTTAAGACTACTGCAAGAACTCGAACTTGTATTGATCTGTCGTCCGCCCAAATTGGCGACTGTTGTGCTGCCCCCCGTTAGGGGGCCCCCTCCGTTGGCTGTGATGCCGCCGTTCAGTGTGGGCGTATTGCAGCTGGACAGGGGCGTGGTCGATGCTGGGCCACTCTTCTTGTTGAAACTTTCAATGAGCGTCGTCGCCGGACTCAACATGCCGCTCTGTGAACTATCCGAGAAGTCTGTCATCTGTGCGAGAAGAGAGTAGAAGTTGCTCAGTCAGATAAGTGTTATTCCAAGCTATTTACAGGTAGTATTTGCATCTACAGCTCCCTAGACAAATTTTACCTTTTATGGGCAACAGGTGAAAATCTAATCTTGCGTCTGTGAGTCTAGGAGCCGAGCATTTATTCATTCAGAATTCTTTGCTTGGGCAAATATTTAATGAAATGTATTTTATGTGCATAGAAATGAGTTGGAAGCATAGAAAAAAAAAGCACCGCATGAGCCATAAACACTTCAAAATGCCTAAATCAAACAATAACATGATTTGTATATTTATTCATGTTTGCAGCACAACAAATGGCACCTACATTTGAATCATTTTTTTTGCCGTGCACTGCCCAGTGCCTGCAAAACTGTGGCATTCATGGCGCCGTGCGACCTGCTCGGTAATGCAATGTGCTTTAGATAAAATGTAGTCCAACAGTAACGTGTTTGTTTTTAAACAAAAAAATTACAAAACTTATGTTCACGAATTGATTAATGTTTGTTTAGTTATGATAATTCAATTTCTGTATCTTAAATCTATTTAGTATCTAGGGTATGCTACATAAATAATACGCTGGCAGTTGGTCGATTTGTTGCTGTTGTTGTTTTCGTATGCACATAATTAATATTGTTTTGATTTAAGGCAGCACTTCGATTAAAATTCCATTTACGCGTGGGCGTACGTCCCACTTGAGTTCGTTTCTCGTTTCTGTGATTCGTAGAGTTTTCTGTGTGTGGGCGCACGCGAACAGTTTTGCAATTCGCGTTCTTAAATCAATATTTGCAATTTCACAAGTAGTCCATATGTAATTTATTGCAAATTTATATACGTTTTATCCTATAGCTGTTTAACAATAAAAACACGCCTTAAAACGCGCCAAGAAGGCGCCGTAACTGTCTGCAGAGTTACCAAACTTCCAAAGCTTTCTTTGTGCTTTTGCCAGCCAGTGTGTATGCTTCAAACATAACGTACATTGCCGCGACGGTAGTTAACAACACTGGTCTAGTGCTTGGCGCAGAGCGGCCCACCAGCTGTTATTTTGGTATGTTGCTTTTGGTATTTTTTGTTTCATATACATATATTTTTTTTTATTTTGTGGACTACGCGCACTGGCCACACTGCTGCTGGAGCCATTCACTCGCTCGTTGATAAAAATGTATTAATTATTGCAAAGTAGCTAGAAAAAGTGCACAAAAGTGGCATAAACTATAGTCAAAGCAGTTGTGAACGCTCTACCACAACGAAATGGCACGTGCACACCCTTCGAATTGTGGCTGGCTTTGTTTCTGGCTCTGTATGGCGTCAGCAACATACGCGTCAGCCGACGTCATGACGGCAGCTGGAGTGGGGGGAGCTGGCACAACAACGACAACAACGCAAAATGCGCTGCTGGCGACCGCTGGAAAACAGGAGCTGTCGGCAAACGGCAAACAGTTGCCGGTCTGCTCACGCATGTTGCGGCACGTCTTTGAGAATGCGACGCCGCGCGACGAACAGCAGGCTGGCGTCTTCGAGGAGTACAAACCGGAGGTGGGCCAAGTGCTCGACGAGGAGACGTATCTGTGGAGCTGTCTGGAGGCGTGCTGTGAGAAATCCCAGTCGCGGAATCGTGGAAGCAACCAAACCAATTCCTGCAACGTGGTCTTAGTTTTCAAGCGCAAATGCTATCACATTCACTGCGTCAGCAATGAGGCCTGCCTGCCCAAGTCACTGGCGCGGGAGCGTGAAAATGAGAAGGTACAAATGGTGCTGGTCAATCCAGTGGATGGGGACCAGCCAGAGACTTGGACGCAGCTGCTCAAGGCCACCAAACAGAACGCTGCAATGCTGCCGTACGAGTCGGAGCTCAACTTTTGGAAGCAGCCGCATCGTTTGCCCTTTCAAGTGAGCCACGCCAAAGCTTGCCTTTGAGCATCCTTTACTTTACTATTTCCTTTTGCAGGATAGCAACGCCTACGATGACGACGAGTTTCCCATGGCGGAAAAGCGCATGAAGCAACTATTGCTGCAACCACCCGACGAGAACGAAGAGGATCTTAGCTACTATGGCGGCGCTGAGCTGCCGAGCACTGCAAAATTCATGACATGCGATCTGGACACACCTTGTCCACCGCAGGAGGAGTGTGTGCCGCTCCAGGCGAATGCGGTGACGGGTCTATGCAGCTGCAAGCATGGATTCATTCGCAACAAGCAGCACAAATGCATCATGCCCGCCGTGCCATACAGCGCATATTTGCCCAATGAAGCGTCTGCTTTGGTCACCCAAGAAGCGGCAGGCAGCGAGATTGTGCCCGAGGTAGTCGCCCCGCCGCCCGTCAAACAAGAAGTTAACAAGGTGACCGTGTCTGTCATGTCCAAGGAGGTGCAGCTGCCTGAGCAGGAGGTGACGCTAGCCGCGTTCACGGTTCCCGATGAGGAGACGAGCGGCGCCAAATACAAATATCTGTGGACGCTTATATCACAGCCCAAGGGACCGATGAATGGTACTATTTCGGATCAGAGCAAGCCCAAGGTGAAGCTCTCGAATCTCTCCGCGGGCTTATACACCTTCAAGGTGACTGTGACCGGTGACAATGGCACCTTTGGCGAGGCAGCCGCTAATGTGACAGTGCTGCCCGAGAGGCGGATTAATCAGGCACCACAGGTTATCATCTCGCCGTCGGAGCAAACCATTCGTCAGCCCACCTCGAATGCGGTGCTCGATGGCAGCACCAGCACCGACGATGACAAGATCGTCAACTGGCACTGGGAGGTCATCTTAGGACCGCTTGGCTATCAGCCGCAGCTGCCGGAGGTGAATACGCTACAATTGGATCTCACCTCGCCGGGCAACTATACCTTCAAGCTGACCGTAACGGACTCCAATAATGTAACCAACTCGACCACAGCCACCATACAGGTGCTAAAGGAGACGGACTATGCGCCGGTGGCCAATGCTGGGGATGCCGTCATTTTGTATCTGCCAAACAACAATGTGACGCTCAACGGAACCGCCAGCTCCGACGATCACGAAATCGTTGAATGGGAATGGACAAAAGATGCCAGTGATGAGGCGAAGGCGGTTGACATGCAGAACACAAGAACACCATATGTACAGCTGTCCAATTTGGAGGAGGGCATGTACACGTTCGTCCTGAAGGTCACCGACAGCAGCAAACAGTCGAGCACCGCCAAGGTACATGTATTTGTGAAGCCACCCACCAACTCACCGCCTACGGCCAAAGCTGGCGTCAATGTGGTAAGTCGAGAAATAGCTAAATCTTTTATGTCTATCGATGACATGCTTCCCATGCGCACAGACAACGAGCCTGCCCATCAACTGGGCAATTTTAAATGGATCCGAATCGAAAGATGACATTGGCATCAAAAGCTATCAGTGGAAGCAGCTCAGCGGACCCAACAAAGCGCTCATACTCAAGTCGAACAGCTCTGTAAGTACAAACAATAAGTACAATACAAAACCTAATCTAATCTCTCACATATCCGCCACTTGTATAGATTGCTAATGCCACCAGCCTAACGCTCGGCCTATACGAGTTCGAGCTAAGCGTTGCGGATGAGAACAACAACACGGCCACCGACAGTACCTGGGTGAAGATTGTGCAGGGTACGTGGTTAGCCAAAAACAAAATGAATCTATTGTAAGCTAATGCCGCATTTATTCCAAAGAACGCAATGCGGCGCCTATTGCTAATGCTGGTGGGGATCGCACCATTGCCTTGCCCGTCACAGCTATATATTTGAATGGGTCGCAGTCATCGGACGATTTGGCTGTCGTAAAATATGTTTGGACGCGTGAGGATTCTAGTCAGGCGGCCGGCGTCATCGTGGGCGATACGGACAAGCAGCCAATTATGATTGTAAGTCCAGGCCAGACACCAGCTGGGAAGGATTGTCATATAAATGCTCCATTCTTACAGCTCAGCAACGTGGTGCAGGGTCGCTACGTCTTTAAGCTAACTGTGAGCGATGATCAGGGTCTGACCGGCACGGATTCAGTCAGCATTAATGTCCATGCGGATCCCATGCTTATGAATCTGGTGCAAGTAACGCTGCCGATGGGCTTGTCGGTGGTAACCAAAAGCGAGCTGGATTCCACAGTGCAGAAGCTGCAGCTGCTGCTGGGCGATGACAATAAGATACAAATCAGGGAACTCAAGCAGGATCTGCACACAGAGGCGGCAGTGCTGGAGTTCTTTGTAATGACCAACAATGCGAAGAGTGGACAGTCGAGGCCAATGGATGGACTGCATGTGGAGCGTATGCTGCGTGCCAAATTGCAAAAGGATGACTCAATTCTAGGTGCACTTTATGTGGACATTCGCACCACCGTGTGCCAGAATAATTGCTCTGGACATGGCAGATGCGAACCCTCGACGAGAGCTTGCATTTGCGAGGCATTCTGGATGCCATCGGTAGGATTCTTCTTCAGCAACGATGAGGCCAACTGCGGTAGCTATAGAAACATTTCAACTCTAAAACTTTATATTAAGCCGTCGTTTGCCCCACAGACTGGTCCATTTTGTATGTTTTTGTGGGCGTGATTTCCAGCTGCCTGCTGCTCTCGGGCATCTTCTGGGGCATTGCCTGTGCCTGCCGCCAGACCAAGAAGCCGCGCATGCGTCAAAAGGTGCAAAAATATGCGCTGATCGGCACCCAGGATGAAGAGGCTGCCAATTGTAAGTTGCTGCCGAAATAGTTCGAACATATCTGAATAGCCTTTATATTACACAGATTCGCGCAACACTTCACTCACCGAATCGGAAACGGATTCGGATGTGCTCTTCGAGACGCGCTCCAAGAGCAATGGCATTGGCAAGCGCAAAGCCAATCACAGCAGCTCACAAGGCAGCGGATCGGCTGGACGTGAGGGCAACAAATATGCGGCTACCAAGCTGGGCCGCAAGATCAAAACATAGACGAGAGAATTACTTGTACTATATCTGTGTGCGTGTGTCTGTTAGTTCATATAGAGTGTGCGTGATATATACCTATATACACCTATATCTATATATATATATATACAAGTATATATTTGTATTTCTATATAACCCCATATACAAACATATATGAATGTTTTGTACTTGTCGAGCACGCAAAGTGCCTGCTGATTTATGTTTATATTTTATGTACTATATTTTAGACTTTATACATATGTATATGTGTTTTATATATTTGTAACTCTATGTGTGTATATGTGCGTGTGTCTGTTCCTTTTGCTTATGTATGTGATATGTGCACAAACCTCTTGGCTGTTTACCTCCTATTTTTATGATAATTTAGTTTTACTTGCGCTACTGCTGTGCAATTAACAATTGTTTACATATTTTGTATAATTACTTTTATGATTTGTATATTTTTTTTATACTTTGTTTGTGTGTATATAGCGATAGGATTTCACAATCAATGTAATAAATTACATGTAACTGCTTTAAACTGAAAATTAATGTTGCAAACGGCGGGAGAAGTTTGGGAAAAAGTTAATAAATTTTAGTTAAACAATAAACGGCTGTCAGAGCACAGTTGGCGCACAGTTTGACAGTCATGCGTGGGCGCACAGTTTGACATTTTAAAGCATTTCAATGCAAATATTGACGCCGTTTTTTATTTGCCTGAACAAATTGGTCGAAGTGCTTGTTATTTGCTGCTCAGCTTGGAGCGCGGTTCCCGGTAAGCAATCGAAACGCAGCGCATCACAAATCTTTAGCCTCTGATTCATTTGGGCAGACAGTTTTTTTGGGCTTTTATTTTGAAGTGTTTGCGCTTTTTATTGATTTGGGCCGGATTTGTGCTACTGACGGCGGGCGGTCGCAACGTCAGTTTGTTGCCTGCTCTTTGCCCTTTTTTTTTGTTTTATTTTCTGATGGTGGCATGCCACGCGCGCCCCATATTTAACACACACACACACACACACACACAGTGCTGGGCGCGGCACTTTGGTTTGGCTGAGACACGCGATTCGCTCATAGCCATTGCCGCGGCGCCTGCTGGACGCAGCTGCCACCTGCCACCTGCCACGTTTGGATGGTTGGCCAGGCTGTGGCCAGGCTGGGGCAGCAGCAGCACCTGAACCTAATTAAGCGACCTTCGTCGGTTTGTTTGGCGCACTTTGCATGCCAAACCTAATGAAAAGTTTCTTGAACTTTGGCCCTCACACACGTGACATATTTTTTTATAAGCTGTTATTTACATTTGCTTTTCTCGGTATTTTTATGCGCGTTTAATTGTTTGTTTTGACTGCCCCGCCGCCCGCAGCTCGCCCACCCCCGCCCCCCCCCCATGCAGCAATATGTCTGCTTAAATTCCTTTCGCATTTCCAAGAAATCTTCGAAGAGCAAGAGATAAATAAATTGAATTTTGAATAGCATTAAAAATGTTAATTTTCTTTGCACTTAATTCGTATTTGCTTAATTTCAACATTCTCTTGACTAATTCACATGCTCAGCTCCGCTGACAGTTTACGGCTTTTCGAAGTTATTAATTTTGAGAGAGAAAAAACAGACACACGATAATGCCACAATACACCCAGGGCCGACGGGCTACCGGAATTATCAGCATTATTATTAAGTTTTTCTCATTCTTTTTGTTATTTATTTTTGTTTGTCATTTGACAAATCAGCCAAAAGAAATCTGACTAAATTCAGCTGTCGCTTTGAGTTAAAAGCATTTGCATAAATTAAACTTAAGTGAGATCTTTATTGTTAATTTATAAGCACACAAAAATTCATCAAATACGCATTAGCTTTAAAAGCCCAACCACGACAAATAGGCCTAAGTTGTGGCAGAAAATTGATCAGACTTTTCTTTATGAGTAATGCAGGTATTTCCCATTTAAATTTCCCACAGCTTAAAAAGCCTGACAAACCTCCACTTTCTATCAAAATTTGTTTAAAATTCCAGAGGCGATTACCTAAAATTTCAGTATGCCAAAAGTATTTCAAGGTTTTGGTTTCAATTTGCGCTTAGAATTCCATTAAAAAATTATAAAACTTATCAATTAACATAATAAAAACAAACGTGTGCGCAGAGCGCAGAACCGAAAAATACCACAAAACCAGTAAGTATGCTGTGGTCGAGAGTGCCCGACTAGGGCATACCCTGCATCTGGTACCCTCTATACCAGATGCACTTTACACTTTCTTTGTTTACCTATTAAATGAGGATGCTAATTGAGAATATATATTCTTTACGGTGTCGAAGATGCCTCTTTTTCCCGGTTACATACATTTGCACATAACCATCATACCCTTTTGATTCATTTCCACTGGGCATAATAAACAAAAATAATGGAAGAACAGAACTGGCTTTGTTAACGGATAAAGTTTTTATGTGGTTTTTATGCGATTCAAATTAATTCTTCAAACTCGGAGGCTAGCTGAGGGGAAGCTGGCCGCATTTATGCATAGCACAATATTTAAAAGCATGAATTATATATATTTATACATACATATATATCTATATAAAACTGTCTTTCGTGAGGAACTGATTGATGAACATATACATTCATTCATACATACATACATACATACATACATACACACATACATACATACATACATACATACATATATATATACATACATACATACATACATACATACATACATACATACATACATACATACATGCATACATACATACATACATACATACATACATACATACATACATACATACATACATACATACATACATACATACATACATACATACATACATACATACATACATACATACATACATGAATACATACTCACAAATTTAAAAAAAAAACATCAACAAAAAAAAACCACAAAAAAAAAGCACAACACTACTCGCTAAGCATGAAAGACCGCAGAGCCTACTTGAATTCTTGAGAATCGAGGAGTAGAGCACTTGGTGAAAATTCATTTAGTTAAATTTGCAGCACAGCGATAAATAATTTTGGTCGCTTGGTATGAAGAAATAAACATGCATACATATATACATTAATGCATACATACATACACGCTCACCCACAAACACACACACACTCACATATATATATATATATATATATATATATATATATATATATATATTACTTTTACTTGTATCTCTATGTATAAAATTGCTTATCCTGATTGACTGACTAATTGACTGACTGACTAATTGACTGACTGATTGATTGACTGACTGATTGACTGACTGACTGATTGACTGATTAACGCCCAGATCGTACCGTAAGAGCTGGGAAGCTAAAATTTCACTGTAGTCAACTAATGTGATGAAGGTTCGGGAAAACTCGCGAAAAATGGTTGTATGCAAGTTTTTCGTTTACCATCCGATCGGTTTCAAACCCATTTTCAAAGAGCGTGTTGAGAATTTTTTTGATAATTGCCATGGGCAAGGCTGGGCATACCCGCTAGTATGTATATACATATATGCTATAATTTATATATATATATATATATATATATATATATATATTAAATGGCACACGAGACAACGCTTGAGTGACTTTTAATGTATTCGCGACAATTATTTTTGTGCTTGCAGATAGCAGCGGGCCATAAAATGTTTTAATGTTTTATTTGCGTTTTATTATTGTTTAATTAGGCGCCCCGCAGAGTGGCGCCCCGCCCCTCAATGACAAAACATTGTCAGTTTATTTGTTTGCCCGAGTGCGATTCGTGTAAGCCAAGTTTATTGTTCTGGACGCCATTTCAGATGCAAATGAAAAAAAAAAGAAAGAAACAACAAAACGCGTTGCCAACGCTCTAAAAAGCGTGGGTCGAACAAATGCGAAAAAAATTAAAAAAAATAAATAAAAAACTAGAAAGTAGGAAAATCTTTGGCAAGCCGAAGTGTTAATACTCTTGTGGACACATTTGCCTTAGGCAGAAATTTGAAAAGTATCTTGGAAAAGCAAATACTATTTCATACAAGAACCAACTTTTCAACTGATCGGACCTATGGGAACTATATGATATAGTTGACCGATTCTGACAAGATGTGCATATAGTAGGTAACATAGTAAAACTTATATATGCCAAGTTTAGTCAAAATATCTTCATAAACAAAAAAGTTTTCCACACTAGAACCACCTTTGTACCGATCGTTCTCATGGCAGCTATATGCTATAGTGCTCCGATCGGGCTGGTTTCGACATATATCAAGACGAAAGCTTTCAATCTGAGAGACTAGCTCGCAAAGAGACAGAAAGACAAAGAGACAGAAGGACAGACAGACAGCTGGACTTGGCTATATTAGCCAGACTTTAGAAGCTGATCAAGAATATATATCTTTATATATATACATTACACATTACATATTCAAATTATAATACCCTCGACAAAGGGTATTCAAATGCTGCACTTGGTTAAGGTTCGAGCTGTGTGGGCAGCAGGTGACACTGGCTTTTAAAAGTGGGCGTATGTGAAGAACAACAAAAAGTGTGTAAACTTGTGAAATAGCAAAATGTTAATTATTTTTTGTGCTTCTGAAAGTGACGCGGTTAGAGCACCATTTATAGAAAAGTCAAGTCAAGAGATCTACGGAGATCTTACTAGAATATACAAAAGTCTGAAAATAAGAATAATCATTCTTAAACAGAAATATTTTGCACATTTTCTATGGTTAGTTCTGACGGAAGCAGAATTGTCTAGAGATTGGAATGTACATATTAAGCCCAGGCAAAGGATCTTAGGAACTGCCCAAAAGACTGTACAGAAGAATTATAGAATTATCTATTCAAGTGGAGGCGATAGTAAAAAAATATTTAAATTATTTTTAATATTCAAATTTTTTTGGATTCTTTTTTTCTTCTTTTTTTAGAAATTCGAATTTTTGCAGATTAAAACGGTTTGGTTCTTGAGATGAGGTCAGATGAGCCAAAGCGCCTATTGTATTTTAAAATAAATTCGATTCAGAATGTTTTTTTTTTTTTTGATACCCCATTGGAAGTGGATAAAAGGGTATGATGGTTTTGTGCTAATGTATGTAACAGGGTGAAGGAAGCTTAAGACTTGACTAGGTCTGGATAGGGCGCAATTCGATAACTTTCCCAGTTTCAAGGCAATCGATAATTATCGATAACGAAATCGTGTTTTTTGAGCAAATCTCTTTGGTTTTAAGATCAAAAGTCACCAAATTTAACATGTTGTTTCTGGTATAGTATATACAGATAAAGTATCTTTCATTTTACAGGCACCTCCGACCCCTTCCGGCCTTAGCGAGCGCTGCATTTGGTATTGGCAGAAAGTTCAGGGTATGTGCTAGTCGGGCACTCCTGACTAGCGCACTCTAACTCTTTGCTTTGTGCTTAACCAATTCATTGCCAAGACTACACAAAAAATCAGGCAGCGAAGAATGCAGCTCTGATATAAAATTGTGGCCACATAAACATATCTAACTAGATATGAGACTTAAGCTTTGCTAATCGTATTATTTATGCCTAAAAATTGTTTATTAATATCTACGAGT